AATTATAAAAGTACAAGTAATATCTCAATTAAATAAAATGATTAATAAATTAGGTAAATAGTTTTAAACTCTTATACTTATTACTTGATTTAATAGTTATATATATTATTTTCATATTAATTATTTACTTAATTTTTTTATAATTTAGATAAAATATTTATTTAAATAAATAATATACTTAAAAATAACATAGGTTAAATGCTAAATTTGGTCCCTCAACTTTAGTGAGTTGCACATTTTTGGTCCCTCAACAATTTTTTGCACTTTTTTTATCTCTCAACTATACGAAATGCATTCCGTTAGTCCTTCTGTTAATTTGGACCGTTAACCCTACTTATGTGGCATTTTTTATATTTTTTTCGATGACATGGAGAGTAAAATTTAAAAAAGTGATGATGTGCACAAAAACTTTTGCCATGTCATGCCACCGTGACCAAAACGTGCCAAATCCGTCTAAGTGGGTCCCATATCACCACCAAGAATTGCTTCTTTGTCAATTGATTACTGTTTCTGTTCTTTCCATCGACTGATTACTGTTTCTGTTCTTTCCATCGACGATGTTCTTTCCATTTTCAAGATTGAAATCATTTAGACAATACTTAAAAAATATGAAGAAAAAAATCTCAAAAATCACTCACAACCTGCAATTTGGATAATCTCTTGATAAACAAACATATAACCAAAAAAACAAAAAAGTCGAGCTGGGTTCATCGAAACCTAACCTGGGTTCCACCGAACCCAGCTCGATTCACTGTAATCCAATTATCCAAAAATCCCTCGCAACAACCTACAATTTAAATAATCTCTTGGCAAACAATCATATAACCAAAAAAAAAACCAATTGCCCAAAAATCCCTGCAATTTGAATAATCTCTTGCCAATCAACCATATAAACAAAAAAAAAAAAAAGTGGAGTTGGGTTCGGTGGAACCCAGTGGTTGGGTTCCACCGATCCCAGTGGCTGGGTTCCGTTCGATGACTTGAGGAAGAAGAGGGAGAAAGACCCGAGGAAGAAGAGGAAGAAAGAAAAATAAAAAAAAGAAAGGAAGAAGCCGGAATAGAATTATTTTATTTTATTTTTTAAAAATATAAATAATAATAATATGAGTTGGCATGCATTGTAATAAAAAAAAATTTTATGTGGACACATTTTTAATTTGTTTTTGCCACGTCATAAAAAAACTATAAAAAATGTCACATAAGCGAGTTAACGGCCCAAATTAACAGAAGGACTAACGGAGTGCATTTCGTATAGTTTAGGGATCAAAAAAGTGCAAAAATTTGTTGAGGGATCAAAAATGTTCATTTCGTAAAGTTGAGGGACCAAATTTAGCATTTAACCAATAACATATATATTCATATCCTATACTCACCCGAATCTCCAGGCTGCAGCCTTGGAAAAAGCAGCCCACTAACTCAAAGTTTTGGGTTTGCCATGCAAACCTTTAACTTTCAAATTATTCAATTAAGTTCTCAGTAACCAAGGACTGTTATTTAAAATATATCAAACAAGGATGGGATTTCATCAATTCTTCACGTTACCAGATCAGGATCTCTTCTAGTAGTAACTATCAAGTAATATCCTCCATTGATTAGTCTAATGCTATCCAACCCGAAAAACAATCATGTTGATGCCTAGAGTGTAGTTTAATTAATGAAGTACCTAATAAATCGCATCTCCTCTATTAGTTTCTCTCTCTTTCCCCCTTTTCTCTCCCTTCTCTCCTGCCTCTGCCTCCCTTCTCCGCCGCTGTGTTGTTTTTGCTCGGAAGCCTTTGAGCTTCCGAGGTTTTGATGCTTGAGCCG